CCTTCACATGCATGTGTTTTGTAGAAATTAATTCTAGGTTAATTTCCAAACCTATAAACGTACCATTTTCTCAAGCAATGCTTAGTAGATATTGGTGACTGTGGGTTAAACAGTGTGAGGGCCTTTTTAATGCCCAATAACTAATTCATTAGTAAATACATTTGTGATGAGGGAAAATAAAGAAATTAATAATTGCATAAATATTACATAACTAAATATTTTAAAGCACCTTATATCTCTAAAAAATTTACATCCAAGTAGACCATTGTTGGTGAATTGAGTTTTTCATTAATTAATTTTCTTTTCGGCTTAGTCTCTTTTTTAACCACAGTGGAATAAACCCCCAACTTATTCAGCATATGTTTTACGCAGTGGATGCCCTTCTGGCTGCAACCCATCACAGGGAAACACCCTTACACTCTCATTCACACACATACACTACGGACACTTTAGTTTACTTTTTTCACCTATAGCGCATGTCTTTGGACTTGGGGGAGCACCCGGAGGAAACCAACGCGAACACGGGGAGAACATGCAAACTCCACACAGAAATGCCAACTGAAACAGCCGAGGTTCGAACTAGCAACCTTCTTGCTGTAAGGCAACAGCGCTATCCACTGTGCCGCCGTTTTTCCTTCATTTAAAGTTCAATTAAAACGATATTTAAAGAAGATATTTCAATTAAGGAAGACATTTACTTTTTACTTTTATTGACTATTTTAGGGTCAGAAAAGTTGACCTATTCATCCCTTTACCAAGTTTATGACTGTTACAGCAACAAAAACAAAACTAGAATAGATTGTCTACACTATTTCTAAATTGCTAAATTAATTTAAGTGATCTGAAGTGGCAACCTGTGTTGATCAAATTGTTTTAAATAAATGTTGTGCATTGCATTTTAGATTATCTTATTACTGTAGGAATTTGATGTGTTCCATTTCTGATTCGATTATAATAACACTGGATGACAATGCTACAATATACGTTTGCCCTTTGCAGTGAACCCACCCCTAACATTGTTTTCTCAATTTTGTATCATAGTTGCTTGCGAGCCATTCGGATGCTACAGAAGAATGGACACATCCCCAGTGACCCCACCCTTTTTAAGTCCTACGCTGAGTATGGCCACTTTGTGGATGTGAGGATTGCCGCGCTGGAGGCTGTAATAGATTATACCAGAGGTACATGCTAATTTATACAAAACCACACAATCTCTAGTTGCTAGTTAGAAAAGTAGGACCAAATTTGGTCTAAATTTATAACTTTTTATCATAATGATAAATTATCCCCAAAGAAAATTAAGTTGTTTTTTTGTGAAATCTGAAAGGCATCAAGTAGCTTTTGAAATAAAAAGATTGACAGAAATTGTTGCACAAATTTAGACTACAATTGTGCAATTCCAAATAGGGCTGCACAATAAAAAATGAAATCACAATTAATCAAAAGCTGCGATTGTCATGCACTTGTCATTGGCAGCACGGTTCTGTGATCAGTAGTAAATCTTTTCCAAAGGCCAGACAGTGCAGAAACTCCAAACAGCCATGAAGTAAAATGGCCAGGAAATTCTTTAGCGGTTGCTTAATAAATGCAAGATTTAACTGCTTTTATTGATTAAGTGTGACTTATCATCGCATAAATACGGAATAATTTCATAGAACAACTTATTTCAAACACCTGACCGAAGTGAGTTTAGAGTAAAAACATATTAAATGTGGTATTTTCACACGCTTTCAGATAAAATGGCTACAAAGTAAATTTACTGAGAAACTGTCATAGTTGCAGAACAGTTATCTTTGATTTTATAATCTCCTTAGTAAATCATCTGCAGTTATAAACATGATTTTACGTAGCTTGTCAGTGAACTTCAGCTCTGTCTTAAATGCTGCACCATCTGAAAGCGTGTGCTGGATTTACTACTGATTACAGAACAGGCTTTACTGATGAAATGCACACATACTTCCACATTTGATTCATCAAATTACACATTTGATTAATTGTGCAGCCGTATTTCAAAAACAGTTTAATTACCTGCATTATTATTGTTTATTTATTATTTTCCTGTTCTATTAAATAATTGTATAAATAAGAAGCTAACATAGATAGTGGTAAACGTATTGACCCATGTTGAAATTGGGATGATCATTTCACCAGCTCAAAAGAGTAAAATAAAAAAAATTTGCAAAGTGATTCACATAAAATTGTTTTATTATATCATAAAAGTTTTATATTCTGTGTATTGACAGTTGATAGGAGTTCGAGTGAACTGCAGTGGCTTCTGGATTTGGTACAGAATGACCCAGTCCATTACGTAAGGTGTGTAAAAACATCAAACACTTTTTCACTTTGTGCTATTTTTTTCCCCTAATTTACAATTTCATGGCTCTCCTCTTCCATATCCTCCTCAGTATCAACTGTTGCTGTCATGCTCTTTCTTTTGAAGTAACAACTTATTGGCTTTATAGATAATGTATGTAAACCTCATAATTGCTGTGTTTACCTCATGGCTCTTTACATATTTTTTATGTGGTGCCTAGACGCACATTGTGTGCATCAGATAAGTTTTAATTTGGCACTCAGATGCATTTTCCGTGGATCACATGAGATTTTTTTTTTAATATTTGCACACTTGCAACTAAATAGATTTTACAGTTTGCACTTATCTATTTTTAGTTATGAAATGTTGCACTGTTGAGCCCTCCTTAACACAAATGCTTTATAGCATGCACTTATTACAGTCTGTTACTAATATTTTATTGTCATATGAATTCATAAAAAAAAAAACTGTGGCATGTGTTGCGTATATAACAGTGATTCTCAATGTTTAACTGCTGTATGTTTTTATTTATTTAAATTTTAGACTTCAGTTATTTTCTGCCCTATTTTAGGCATGAGATTCTCAGCATGCTTGCCAAGAATCCACCGTTTACAAAAGCAGCAGATTCATCATTGTGTAACGAGGCTTTAGTAGACCAACTGTGGAAGCTGATGAACTCGGGTAAAACACATTATTATTATTATTATTATGCTCTCTCTCAATTTGGTTTGTTTTAAGACCCTCCGGAATTATTACATGTGTTCTTCCTCAAAACACTGTTATGTGCCCTATGATTCATTTTAGTTCTGTTTTCATGACCAGTTGGGGACTATTGATCTGAAACAGATGAAATTGTGAAAGTAACCGTTCAATTGCTGTTTAACTCCCTATGCCTTCAAATCTGCTTTTGATTATTGGATGCCTCTTTGAATTTGGCATAATTTTTTTAAGAAGCATTGTCTGTTTTGGGAAAATGTATTGTATTGAAACCCAATTATTGTAATTGGAGGTTTGCAGAAACTATTGGCAGTACAGCTGCAACACATTGTTGCTCCAACCCTAACCCTGATTCATCTAATCAATGTCTTTAAGATTATAAGAAACTTACAAGTAGGTGTAATGTAGTGCTAAACTGTACATTGGTGTGGCCCTCCAAAGAAGTGAGTTTGATATCACTGTTGTAGACTAAATTCATAGGAATTACTCCCCATAATCCTTATGCATTTACATACCCTGTGATTTCTCTACTGCCTTTAAGTGTGTTTCACAATCTACACATGTAATGTACACAACAGATGTATTTTTCGTTCATGGCATTCTTCATTTACTTCTTTAATATCCTTACAATTAAATATATTCACACAAAAACTTTTAACAGATTAAAACATCAAAGATGTCATGACATAACTGCAAATATTTGACTAGGATTATTCGGACTATTTGCCATATACTAAATTAAAGCTGAGATTCCCCCAATTTTTGTGATCTATGACACATTCATGATCAGATTATTCAACTTTTAACAGGTCTAATTGTTATGATGTGAAGGTCCTTAAATCATAAAATACAATAAAACTATTCGATGTGGTACAGCAGTTTTATTTGTAATAGTAGAAAGTGTTAAATATATAAATATAAAATAATATTCACAAAAATCCCAACCTTTCTGGGTTATGAGTTATAGTTCTTTCTGAGGTTAATTTCAGTATTAAATCATGTTATAAGTGAAGTGCTGTATCTCAAAACCTTGATATTTAATGTATGATTTACCGCAATAAATAAAAAAAATAGATATTTATGTAATGTTTTATGCTGTTTGGCATTTTTTTAATTAGAAATGCATTATTCCACTTTAGTCTGGGTTTAACAGAGGGGGAAATGTATACAGATGGATTCTTGACCACTGATTGATTGAAAAGTCTGACAATATTTGCATTACAAATCTGGTTATTTTGCAACCTCTGTATGTCTCTCAGGTACCTGCCATGACTGGCGTTTGCGATGTGATGCCGTGAACCTGTACTACACTTTGTTTGGGCTTACTCGACCCTCCTGTCTGCCGCTGCCAGAGTTAGGTCTCGTACTGAACCTGAAGGAGAAAAAAGCTGTTCTCAACCCCACCATCAAATCTGAGCAGATCCCTGGACTCCCTGAAATGACCCCTAGCATGACCTTCATCAACACTGTAATTCTAATACTTTTGTTACCACTGATCTATCCCCCCAGTAATAACAATACAGCACTTTAATGGTTAAAGTGTCATTCACATGTGTAAAAATGGTATGGAAATACTTACATTTTTATCTTATGATGCTATTTCTCAACTAGTTTAAGCAAACATATTTTGCGTGATTTTCTAATTAAGTAAACATTTAAAAAAAGAAAAATGTTTACATTACATACAACATAATCACCTAATCTGTGTATTAAATTGTCATAAACTACTAAACATTTTTTAGAGATGTTAAGATGTAAAAAGTATATAGGTTACACATTGCTGAAAACAGTACTATGACTTTATCAGGATGTGGAAATTGGTTATTTTTTACAAAGCAATTTTGCTTTATTTGAAAAGCAAATTTGTAGCAACATCACATGATATTTAGATCATTTTATTTATTTTTAATTAAATCACTGTGTGAAAGGGGCTATTGGCTCTATAATGACTTTTATTCAAAAAAGATTTTCTACTGACTAACTGCAAGATTACTGGTGTTAGTTTTGAATACAGCTGTAGCACTGTTCTACATAAAGGTAGAACCATATGTAGCTTTTAAAAAATAGGCGTTTTTATGTATAATTTTTTTAGTTCATAAATTTTTTTTTAATTATTATTATTTTTATGAATCCTTTTCAGCTGAAGGAAGAGCATGTTGTCATGGATCCAGCATTGAGTGGTGTAGCCATGGCCCCACTGAGTTTAAAGAGGAAGGCAGAGACTCCAGTAGGTTCAGCCCCTGAGCCTGGACAAGTTTTACAAGAGGAGCCCAGTGCTAAAATCACTCTGAAGAGCAGAGTGAGTACCCAGCTCTGAATATGATTGTTAGAGGGTGTTACTACTTAGATCAGGGGTGTCCAAACTTTTTGGGCCGAGGGCCAGATGCAAAAAAAAAAAAAAACGTTGTCGCGGGCCAAATTTTACATACATCACACAGACACGCATATATATTTGTATATGTATAGATATTTATATAAATTAGCCTACAGTTGAAGACAGAATTGTTAGCCCCCTAAATTATTAGCCCCCCTGTTTATTTTTTCCCTAATTTCTGTTTAACGGAGAGAAGATTTTTTCCCGCACATTTCTAAACATATTAGTTTTAGTAACTTATTTCTAATAACTGATTTATTTAATCTTTGCCACAATGACGGTAAAAAATATTTGACTAGATATTTTTCAAGACACTTCTATACAGCTTAAAGTGACATTTAAAGGCTTAAGGTTAATTAAGTTAACTAGTCAAGTTAAGGTAATTAGGCAAGTTATTTTATAACAATGGGGGGCTAACAATTTTGACCTTAAAATGGTTCATAAAAAATTAAAAACTGCTTTTATTCTAGCCGAAATAAAACAAATAAGACTTTCTCCAGAAGAAAAAAATATTGTCAGACATACTGTGAAAATGTCCTTGCTCTGTTAAACATCATTTGGGAAATATTTAAAAGAGAAGAAATAAAAAAGAGGGGCTAATAATTCAGACTTCAACTGTGTTGAATATATATAGATAGACAGACAGACAGACAGACAGACAGACAGACAGACAGATAGATAGATCATATCAAGAACTGCTGCTTAATTGAATGCATGTGATAGCGACACACGGTGGTTATTTATTGAATTAAGTTCATTTTTTGTATAGCGGGCCAGATTCTATTGATATTTATAAAAAGCCTCGCGGGCCGTCACAAAACTGATTGCGGGCCGCAGATGGCCCGCGGGCCGTTGTTTGGACACCCCTGACTTAGATCATTTGTTTTAAAAAGAACATCTTGACTATTTTAATTGTAAGTATTTAGAGCCAGATATTCTGAGGACAAATACTCGTACCGTTACTTTATCTGGTAAATTCCTGGTGTCTAAATATCTGGTGTCTGTTACAGAATTTGAATAGAATAAGACGGATTACACAAAATACATGTTTTAAGAAAAAAAATTATATATATGTTTTAGTACTGTCCTGCGTAAGATATTTTACATTAAATATGTTTACATGTAGTTCACAAAAACAAAATGTCATGCAGATTCTTCAATTTTCCAGCATCTTCTGCAGATTTGAATGCAATCGTGCAGTAACTGTATGATTGTGAGATCTGTCTATTTACAATGAAGATTTTGAATGCTCACTGATGCTCTAGAAGGCCTTGTGTTTCCATCTGAAGCATCAGTGAGTATTTGTATCAATTTAACAGTTGTGTTTGAGTGTATGCAATCATTTGCAGTGGATTATTTTAATAATTTGAGCTGTGCTTGTCTTGTGAACAATATGTGAACCTCTTGTTTAAAAATGTCTTACTCAAGATGATTCTAAATAAAATGTTATTATACATTATTTAAACAGATTTTTCTAGCGGTACACACACACTTTCAAGCAGAACTATATCTTTTAAGATGAAGAAAAAAATCTTCACAGTCAGTCTTTTGAACATTTAGTAAATTTAGCAGTGTAATTTTGTAGTGTACTGTATTATTTTTAACTTGTGTTAGTTTCCCACACAGGAAGAGGAAGACATTGATATGGACACAGTTCATGACAGCCAGGCATTCATTTACCACCACCTGAACATGTTGGAGAGACCTTCAACCCCAGGTATGTTAGAAATGCACACATTTTACAAAACACATTTTCAGAAAAAGTAGGTTAATCTCTTTTTAATGTTAATTTTCTCTCCCCTTTTCATAGGAAAAGAACCATCTTCAGTAGAGCAAGCAATATTGTCCATGCCAGGAACACCCATGCCCACGCTGAGCAAAGAGAGCACATCCTCCAAACACGGAGAACACCACCACCACCACCATCATCATCATGAGCACAAGAAGAAGAAGAAGAAGCATAAGCACAAGCATAAACACAAACACAAGCATGAAAGTAAAGATAAAGACAGAGACTCTCACGCATTTGTTAATAGTCCTGCCAGTGGTCTTTCCATTCGCTCTCCATCTCTGTCTGACTAAAAGCATTTTAAGCCTTTCTATTATTTTTCAGAATTTGTGTTTGTTTTACACATTATTTTCAGTGCTTTGATGGCTGGATACTCTTTACACCCAATATGCACTAGGCCAGTGCTTCAAAAAGAAGTTCAATTAAAATTTTGTATTGTTTAAAATGAGTGACAACATCCTTTAAAACTGTCCTTCTAAAGCTTGTTTTTAACCATCTTTTTACCGTTTGTGTAAATCTGATGTGTACTGCAAGGAAAATGTATTCTACTTGTTTGAGGCCTCTTAACAGCACATACATTTACACATACGCCAGTCGCCTCCTATGATCACTGAGGTTAACTACCTATCCTGTCATCTGGTGGTACTTTTCACCTTTATCTCACTTTTACTGTATGGGGGAACATTTTACTTAATCTTTACTGTTTCTTTGAAATTTTAACTTAAATCACTTTTACCCGCTTAGTCTTTTTTAGTTTAGCCTCAGTTTAGATTTTTATTTTATTGTTGTAAAATGACACTATTGCAATTTTATCATTCAGTAATGCAATTGATATGTGTTGTTTTTTTTTCTCAGCGATGTTTTGTTTGCTCTTCATTTGTAAAAAAAATCATAAAGAAATTTGGAGTAGTAAGCTGTGTATTTTGTGTTGTTGTCACTATAATCTCATCTCCTTTTTGTTCGCTTTTCTCTGGCCGGGTCGCGGGTGCAGCAGTCTTTAAGAGAGAACTTCAGATATCCCTCTCCCCAGACACTTCCTCCAGGGGGATCCAGAAGGCATTCTCAGGCCAGCCGAGAGATATAGTGCCTCCAACGTGTACTGGGTCTTCCTCGAGGCCTACTCCTGTTGGGACATGGCAGGAACACCTCCTTAGGTAGGAGTCCAGGAGGCCTGAGCCACCTCAGCTGACTTCTCTCGTTGTGGAGGAGCAGCGGCTCTACTCCGAGCTCCTCCCAGGTGACGGAGCTCCTCACCCTATCTATTATACTGTGTTTACACGAGATGCGGAACGCATGGATAAATCGCGATGTTCGCGCGTAAACGTTTGAGTTTACTTGCTTCATTCGCGCGTCAAATTCACTTCAGAACAGACGCAGACTCGCGTGATGGGCAGGGCTTCTGTCTGCCCGGTGACTCTAGCTTCATAGCTAAATGTCTAACGTGGATTTTATTGAGGTAGGCCTATGTATTGAACCGTGACTTCGGTGTACTGTTTAAAATGTTTTTATCATATACATATTTTCTATGTAAACTCTATAAATGTTATGGCAATACATTTCTAGCATTTGTCATATCAATAACGCAAATGCATTGAATTGAGAGACAGAGAGAGAGATTTTCTTTAATACAATGCAGCTTAATAAACTGAGGTGCCATGTAGGATTTAAATCAAACTTTGCTTATCAACACATACATAAAACATGTGTATATACACCTATAAATTACTCGCATATACACCTATACTACTGGATGTTCAAAACAACATAGATGAAACTTCTGTATATACATATAAACTTGATGCATGACTACACCCACATACACACGCGCATACATATAAACTCGATCGTCACATAAACACCCCCATTAACACACGCACATACATATAAACTTGCTGCATACAAACACACCTATACACACTTGTTTATACATATACACTTGCTGCATGCAAACACACCTATACACACTTGCATATACATATGAACTCGGTTCTCGCATAAATACCTACATTTACACGCACATACAAATAAACTCACAGCATGCAAACACACCTATACACACTTGCATATGCATATAAACTCGATCTATGCATATACACCCACAACACGCGCTCATACACAAACTCACTGCATGCAAACGCACCTATACTGGCATATAGCCCCAATGCCTAAACTCAATGCGTGTATAAACACCCAAAATAACACTCGCACACATACAAAAAACTTGATGTGTGCATAAACACCCAAATAACACTTGTGCAAACATACAAAATAAAATTCACAAACATTTATACAGTTAGTTGTGTATATACATATATGCAAGTCATTTCATATGTGTGTATGCATGAATTTTCACAGTAAAAGGAAGTTATTTCACTTTAAAAGGAAGTAGTTTAATTTCAACGTAAAAGTCCTTTGAGCGCGTGTTGTTGTGGGTGTATATGCATAGATCAAGTTTATATGTATATGCAAGTGTGTATAGGTGTGTTTGCATGCTGTGAGTTTATTTGTATGTGCGTGTAAATGTAGGTATTTATGCGAGAACCGAGTTTATATGTATATGCAAGTGTGTATACTGTAGGTGTGTTTGCATGCAGCAAGTATATATGTATATGCAAGTGTGTATAGGTGTGTTTGCATGCAGCAAGTTTATATGTATGTGCGTGTGTTAATGGGGGTGTTTATGTGAGGATCGAGTTTATATGTATGCGCGTGTGTATGTGGGTGTAGTCATGCGTCAAGTTTATATGTATATACACAAGTTTAATCCATGTTGTTTTGAACATCCAGTAGTATAGGTGTATATGCGAGTAATTTATAGGTGTATATACACATGTTTTATGTATGTGTTGATTAGCAAAGTTTGATTTAAATTCTACTCGGCACCTCATAATAAACTCTACACTTTGTTTTTATTACAATTTATCAGTTCAAATTGTATAATGTAGACTATAGGTACACTATATTTTATTTAAGACAATGATCACTTCAGATACATTATTCATATAAGTTACAGATTTCACAACAATTTTAAATAAATAACAATTGATTCACATATACTCATACTCTGATCATTCATGTGGTCCTACAGTTCGGTAGGTCATACCTGAAAATACAGCTTCATGTAATGCTGCTAGATTTTTTATGGTGCAAACAGAAGAGATTTGCATTATCAACCACTTGTTGTTCTTTCTTAAGTATAACTTCAACAGTGTCTGAAATTTTCCTCTAAATTTTTTTATTTGTATCAGTCTCCTTTATGTTCAGTTATATCAGTTGTAAGGCAAAAAATAGGTCCCTTTCCTGGTCTTTAAAATAAAATATCTCGACATACAGTTAAAGTCAGAATTATTAGACAGCTTGTTTATTTTTTCCCCAATTTCTGTTTAACAGAGAGAAGATTTTTTAACACATATTTAAACATAAAAGTTTCAATAACTCCTTTCTAATAATGTATTTATTTAATCTTTGCCATGATGACAGTAAATAATATTTTACTAGATATTTTTCAAGACACTTCTATACAGCTTAAAGTGACATTTAAAGGCTTAACTAGATCAATTAGGTTAACTAGGCAGGTTAGGGTAATAAGGCAAGTTACTATCGAGACAAAATATAGTTTAAAGGGGCTAATAATTTTGTCCCTAAAATGGTGTTTAAAAAATTTAAAAACTGCTTTTATTGTAGCCGAAATAAAACAAATAAGACGTTTTTCAGAAGAAAAAAAATATTATCAGACATACTGTGAAAATTCCCTTGCTCTGTTAAGCATCATTTGGAAAATATTTAAAAAAGAAGAAAAAAATGAAGGGGGCTAATAATTCTGACTTCAACTATATATATATATATATATATATATATATATATATATATATATATTAACAAAAACGTCATTAATTTGAGAGGAGTATCTGCAGATTGAGTGCACATGCAGTCTCAGGAATACACATAACCTGTCACTTGCATGAGTCTGAATGCATGTTTGAGCGTGCATGTGCACATATAAGCAACAAAAGAAAATAGTTTTCACTGTTATACGAATCTATATTTCGGGGGCCACGCAGGGGGAGGGTTCAAGCTTGTTAACACAGGAACAAGCGGCCTTAAATCGCCGCTTCACATAGCCCAATTATTTTAATTATTAAAAAATTCCGTCCAGCCTACAAAAAAAATACAACACACCAACCCTGAAAAATTAAGTAGTAAGTGTTGCTCAATATGACAGACATGTTTTAAAATATCTGTATTTTTTCGGGGGGTGGGAAAAGAAATGGAAGGCAGATGTGCCAGATGTGAGTTAATGCTTCCGCGTGTGAACGAGCACTTCATTGGCTGAGGGGAAAGTAAACGTTACAGTGCCGAGGTTTGAGTAGTCGTTCAGTGTGGAAGAGAGCCACCAGACGCACGTCAACAATGCTGCAACTTAAATGGGTACGATATGATAAACTTATTATTGCTTAGAACTATAGGATTAACTTAGTATTGCTTTCTTTCTTAAGACCCGTATACTTTCAGCAAACTTTTAATGTTGCTTTATTTAACAAAAATGCTACATTCTTTTCTGTCGCGTATATTTATATTACGTTATATGATACTCTTCAGCAATTGCTTACTGTAAACGAGATCTTAAATTGTTGAAACCATATGCGATTGCCTTATTGCTGTATCTGTACCAATGTATTCTCCTTCATGTGTCTTCTCTCGCGGTGTCTCGACCCAGGTATTCTCCGTTATGTGGCTTTTCTCACGGTTAACAGTGTGTAAGACTTATGTGGTCAGACGGTCCGGAAAGGCTGCATCACCAGACGAATCGCTCTCAAAAAGTAGGATGCTTCTTTCTTTCTTTCTTTCTTTCTTTCTTTCTTTCTTTCTTTCTTTCTTTCTTTCTTTCTTTCTTTCTTTTTTTTCTTTCTTTCTTTCTTTCTTTCTTTCTTTCTTTTTTCTGTTGCAAGTTTACATTAATTACAAATGTAAGTATGATTACACGATTAGTGGTTGAGGGGCTTCATTTTTTTGCGATGGTTTAATGATGTTGAATATTTACAGAAAAGCTCAATAAGTTTTAGTGTACCTTTATAGTAGCCTACCCCTTGCAAGTTTGTGAACCACTTGCAGTATCTGGGAAAATGTGAATAATTGTGACAAATTAAGTAATCATACAATTGCATGTTATGTTTAGCCTAAGATATTTTGCATAAAATGTTTATATAGTTCACAAGACAAACATATAGCTGAATTTATTAAAACAACTCCCAGCCAAGGTTTTCAAACCCTTGGTTTTTTATGCTGTGTGTGGTTGTATGATTTATGACATTTCTTTTATTTGTGATGGTTCTTCTTCAGTCCCTTTTTTGTTTTGAAAAGCTGCTGTTCTTCAGAAAAATGTCCTACAGTTTCTTCAGTGGTCGTCAAGCATTTGTTTTTTTCATTTTTGTAAACCTTTTCAGCAGTCACTATGTAATTTTGAAATCTTTTCACAATGAGGAAAATTGAGACCCGAACACAAATATTAAAAAAAGTTTAAATGCTCACTAATCTTCATCCATTTTCACCTCCTGGCTCTTTATTGTCCTCAATTGACCTCAGTGTTGTGGCTTCTCTGGCAGTTAACTGTACAAACGCTGTAAGGCTTATGCTGTCAGACAGTCCGGCTTCATCACTAGATGAAACGCTCTTTAGAAGTAGGATTTTTAACTCTTTCTTAAATTGTGCATTTTATTTCATTTTTAAAAAGTATCAAATTTTCTATTACAAGTTTACATTATGTAACTACAAATTTCGGCATCATTACAGTGGTTGCAGCAGTGTGTGTGTAAATAATTTTAACAAAACAAGAGGGATCATACAAAATGCATGTTTTTTTTTATTTAGCATTAAACATATTTTACATAAAAGATGTAAAAATTTGTTTAAAAT